AGGTTTCACTTGGCTCTGCCGGGTTTCACCGGCCTTCTCTACCTTCGGGCTGAGGTTTCACTCAGTTCTGTCGGGTTTCGCCGACTCCTGTCACCGCTCCACGGGCTGAGGTTTCACTCAGCTCTGTCGGGTTTCGCCGACTCCTGTCACCGCTCCACGGGCTGAGATTTCACTCAGCTCTGTCGGGTTTCGCCGACTCCTGTCACCGCTCCGCGGGCTGAGGTTTTACTCAGCTCTGTCGGGTTTCGCCGACTCCTATCACCGCTCCTCGGGCTGAAGTTTCGCTCAGCTCCACCGGGTTTCGCCGGTTTCCGTTGCGAAGGCAGGGCTCGACGTGGCACTCAGCCCTGCCCGTAATACCTAATCGTCCCGCCTGACATTAGCTCGTAAGTGCATGCGATAGAGATTAAGGCCGCTAGTTATAAGTCAGTAATTCTAAGATCCGTAGTGGTAATCGCGCCGCGTAAATAAACCGTTGTCGACCGCACGCCGCACCCGTCCTGCGCATTTCATCGCCTTACGTCAATCGGTTGCGTCTCCGCTTTGCTACCAGCGACACTGCGACAGCACCCGGCTCTGCCCTACTCTGTATCTATTTTTCTATCAATAAACGATCTTTTCACCGCCACTTGTGCTCGCGTACGCTTGAGTCTCCCCTCCTCTCGAACCCGGACACCGACGAGCCGATCCGAGCATCGAGCGAGGTGACCGCGTCACATGGCGCCCGAACAGGGACCTGCCCAGTAGAGACTCCGGCTTGCGTGCGCACTCCGATGAAAATCTCTTGGATATACAAAAGTCCAACTCGCCACCCAACTAGCCACACATGGCCTCGACAATAGCGGTAGTATCGACACGTTACGACATCGATTGCGCCAATTCGTAATCCAAAACCCGGAGCTGTTCGTCGGACAAGACACCGCCGACATGCCAACCGAGGAAAAAGCAACGCCGGAACCGTCCGAGCCGACCCCTGCCCGGGTCGAGCCAATGCCACTCGACCCCACCGCAATTTTAGACCGAATCCGAAAGTGTGGCCTCTGCTTCGATGGCAAAAACCCGTTCGCATTCCTCGAACGTTTAGAAGAGCTGAGGCGATCCTACCGCTACGCCGACGAATTGTTCCTGCTAGGGCTACCAAAGATGCTGCGCGGAAATTCATTGTTGTGATCGCAACAATTACGAGGACTGGACCACCTTCTGCACCGCCTTCCGACTGAAGTACCTCCCACCCGACTACCAAGACCAACTACGGCAAGATGCTCAGGCCCGAAGGCAAAAACCAGGGGAACCCTTTGACCAGTATGCCACGGACCTGCTGACCATGATGAGATGCGCTGGGGGCTATTCGCCACAGGAGAAAGTCCGCCTGCTATACAACAACTTAAACTCCAGTTACCAGTTATACATCCGATCAACAGAAGCCACTAGCATCGCGGGGTTAAGCGCCAGGACAGCCGAACACGAAAGGATACTCCGTCGACAAAAGGAAGAACAGCCTCCGACCCGGAGCCCGCTGATCGCGGCCGCCGCCTACAGCAGAGAGGAGTGCTATTGGTGATGCAAGCAGCGAGGCCACACACTCCTCGATTGTAAGAAGCCACCGCGCAAGTTTTATTCTCGCTGGCAAGGACGGCGTGTTCACCCGAGACTGCCACCCACCGTCGGAAAACGGCACACGGGCCGGGGAACTAGCGGCCGCCGCCCGTCCCGACAGAACGCCATAAAGTTCACGCCTAGGCCGCATCTAAAGATCCAGCTACTCGGTCGGCATCTGTGGGCCCTGCTCGACTCCGGCTCCGAGGTCTCATTCGTGAGTCCCGCCACGGCCAAACGAGCCCGGCACTGTGGCCACCCCCCTCGGGGGGTAAACCAACAGATCAACTTGGCCGACGGCACCACGGTCCCCATCACCCACACGATGGACATACCGATCACCATTATCGACCGTACCGTGACCCACACGTTCCAAGTCATGCCGAACCTCAGCGGGCCGATCCTCATCGGCATTGATCTTTAGGCTAAGCTCGGAGTCGCCCTCCCCGCACCTCCGATTACCAAGACCCGCGACCAACTCGTGGTAGGGGAGATTTCGGCCGGGCTAACGCTACGCACCGCGGACGAAGACCAGCAGCTACGAGAATTTCTACACCGGGAACTAGCCGCCTTTGAGACTATACGCGGCCCGACCGACCGTATCGAGCATCGTATCCGTCTAACGACTGACCAACCAATTAAACAGCGGTATCGACCGCGTAATCCAGCCATACAGGCCGTAATAGACCAGGAAGTGCGCAAGATGGAAGAAGCCGGCGTAATCGAGCCGTCTCAAAGCGCCTGAAGCTCCCCGGTGGTACTCGTAAGAAAGAAGGACGGCACGTATCGTTTTTGCATCGACTTCCGGAAAATGAACGACGTCACGCAAAAGGACGCCTGTCCTTTACCACATATTGCGGCTACGCTCGATAAGCTGCGCGGTGCCAAATATCTCATCACGTTGGATCTTAAAAACGGGTATTGGCAAGTCCCGCTGGCACCCGAAAGCCGACCAGTCACCGCGTTCACCGTGCCGGGGAGGGGACTCATGCAGTTCCTAACCATGCCGTTCGGACTACATTCGGCTCCCGCCACGTTCCAATGCCTCCTGGACTCTATCCTGGGGCCAGAGCTCGAGCCCAACGTCCTCGTGTTCTGGACGACATCATCGTGGCCAGCCCAACTTTTGAGA